CCTGGAACTCACCATGTAGACCAGGCTGGCCTCAAGCTCACTAATATCTGTTTGCCTCTGCCTCCTGAGTGCTGACATTAAAGGTGTGGGCCACTACACCTAGCTTTAGACATAAATGTTAAAAAAAAAAAACAAAAAAAAAACAAAACAAACAAACAAAAAAAAAAAACCAGCAGCAGCAGCAGCAACACCAGAATGTTCAACTAGAGCTGGTGGTGGGCACAGAGCTGCCGGGCCAGTACTCAGGGGACTGAGCCAGGGGTTCAAAGCTAGCATGGGCTATGCAGCACGACCTTGACTCAAACATACAAAAACCAACTAAAGGGCCGGTCCTGAGTTCACCGGGGCCCCAGAGGGAAGGCAACGGCTAGAAGGGACACCTCGGGATCTGGCTGCAGCCTGTCATCTGAAGTCGGATGGCCTCACCCGAGTGATGGTGGAATCGGTGGGGTGGCAACCTCCGGCAGCAGGTTCCCGGTCACATGGAGAAGAGACAGGGAGTGTGGACCGCTGCTCTTTGTCTTGCTATGGAGAAAGCCAGAAGGGGAGGAGCTGGGAGAAGCCACAGGTCTGTGAGGCTGAAGGGAGTAAGCTGCTTAGAAAGGCCTGGTTGGAGAGGAGGCTGCACAGCCCAGGGTGGTCGCAGGAGATGAGCAGAGCCCGTAGATTTCATAAGGAAGAAAGGACGGGATGCCCTGAGAGCTCTTTAAGAGACTCTCCCCACTTCTGAGCACAATGGCATCTACAATATAGGATGAAAACCTGTGTTCTGCTCCCTCCACACCACACACACACACACACACACACACACACTCACGGCTGTAGCACAGTGGGCTGTGATATAGGCTGAACACTGCACACATCTCCAGAAGCAGTCATGTGGCTGATCCTATGTGCTCCTCCAAACGTGTCCCCGTGACTCATCTCTGACTGCCTTTTCCCTAAGGCCTTCCAGGCTCAGCCTGCCTCACTCACAAGTGTGCCTGCCCATTCTCCCAACCCTTAGAAACAGGCCACCAAGACATAGATCCTGCCAAAATGGTACAGTGAGCACGGGGTCCAAGAGCTCCTGAGGGTGTGGGGTGCTCACCTTGGACGTTGACTTAGCGGCGGTGGGGACACTTCTGTCCCCCTTTAAAAAGTGTCTGTGTGTTTTTTCCTGCGTGTATATATGTTTACCCCATGCATACAGCGTCACTGTGTTGCAGTTTCCTTCAAGACCGAAGCACCCCGCCCTGCAGGCAAACTCCTGAAGACAGAGGGTAAACAACTCTTCGAAGCTTGGGGAAGTCTCTGAAACTAATCACGTTCAACTAGGCCCCGACCTCCCACCTTTCTGAGATGGCCAAGCTGCAAAGAAGACTCAGGCTAGACCAGCTGCCTGCAAGCTGTGTGGACCAACTGAGTCACGAGGAAAGGACACTCTTCGGCCTGTAGAGATGCCTGCAGGTGGTAGGAGATGATCCAGGTCCTCAGCTTTGGCGACCCAGCCCCTGTGCTGAGGTGTGCTCTGAGTGCCGCTGCCTTTGAGGCTTTCTGTGCTGTAACTCCTCACCCCTGTTCCCATAACTAACCCCAGTAAAGCTCCCTGGCTCACCATGGTGGGCTTTGGTGCTGTCCATACTTTAGTCTGCTGTGGACTCCCTGTCTGAGGTGAGTAGATGCGCGTATCGTGTCTCCCCAGGAGATCTTGTCACACAACAAGCGCATACAGATGCCCAGAAGAGGACGTCGTCTCCCCTGGGACTAGAGTTACAGATAATTGTGAGCCACCATATGGGTGCTGAGGATCACACACAAGTCCTCCGGAAGGGCAGCCAGTGCTGTGAACCACTGAGCCGTCTCTCCAGCGCCTATTATTTTACACACTTAAAACAGTCAAACCCCCTGGACCTGGGGTTACAGACAGTTGTGAATCACCACGAGGACGCTACACACTAACCCGGGTCCTCCGCAGGGACAGCCAGAGCTCTGAGCTTTAACTCCTGTGCCACGGAGAAGTTCTTAATCGTTTCCCAGAAACTGACAGTCCTCTGCACACTCGGTCCCTGCCTCTCTAGTCTCTGTATTTCTCTCTTTCCTGTGTCTCTGCCTTTCTCTGTTTCTGCCTCTGGGTCTCTCTGACACTCCCAGATATGAAGCAGTGAACATCCCAAAGGGTCCAGACACCCCCCACAACCCAGGGGACCAATGTGAGCAATGAAGACTCAACTGTGAGCACACGACCCTGCATCCATTGAGTGTCTACTGTATGCTCTCTTATAGGGAAAAGCTATGCTTTCCTTTGCAGTAGGAGAAACTGAGGCTATCACTGATGAAGGTTATCTTGGGGAATCCCAGGGGCTGGGTACACCAGGGCAGAAGTGACAGGATTAGGGAGGGTTTCTGACTGAAGCCAGAGTTTGCACTGGTGATGGAGAACCAGCTATGGTGAGAGGATGAGGGCTGGAGGAGGGCAGGGAGGAGCAGAAAGGAGCATCCAAAAAACTCAGTGGCCCTGTGGAGCTACACAACGGGCTCTTGGAGAATGCCCTGTATGGTCAGCTGGGGAAGCAAGGCCCAAAGGGAACATGGCAGGGTGTTGCTTGCAGAGGCATGATAAGCAGGGCTAGCAGGTTCTGGTGGCTGATAAGGTTCCTCAACTTTATTCCTGGAGGAGAGCTGGCAGGAGGGGCTTCTGGGACATTGCAGGGGGTCTGTGAGGTGGGCTAGGGAGAACTAAGGTGCTGGCGCCATGTTGGGGGAGACATGGGAAGGCTGTCAGTGGTCGGGAGATGGGGTGTCCTGGCTTGGGGGACTCTGGAAAGGCAGGTTCGGCGGGTGCTGGTGGTGACATCATCGGTGGCCCCAGGGGGCTGTCACAAATGCTGTCCTTAAACTACTTGTGGCGGCAGGGAGTGTGCACTGGCTGGTCACACGGTGAGCCTCAAGATGATCTCAGAACTCGGACCCTGGCATGGCCCTCTCAGCCTTTGCTCACCCTTTCCCCACACTGCTTGGCAGCTGCCTTCCTTACCAGCTTTTCCGGTTCTTGTAACTGCTACCCCGAGGGTCAGGAAAACCTGGTTCCGGGACCAGGCTCTAGCTGAACTGGGTGTGATTGCTGTACTTTGCCCCTTTGATGAGAACCCTCAGGTTGGTCCGCTGCCCCAGCTGATCAAGGGTTGGGGCTATAATCCCAGGCCATAGGCTTGCACGCTCTCTCGGACAAGGAGCTCACTCCCCACTCCCAGGCCCTACACCTGCTGCCTGCACCAGGTGCCGGCTTGACGCCAGCCCACAGCTTGGGCATGAAAACCCGTTTTCATTCCTCGTGGAAGGTGTGGAGGAGCCGCCTGGCTCCAAGCTGGTTGCCGCTTTTGGGAAAACGCCTATCTTCCTAAAGGTCCTGCCCAAACAGGCCCTGGGGCCCAGCTGGGTGGTGTCAGCTCACACTGTTCCTGACAGGGAAGGACAGAGCCCGGCAAACAGTGGCACACAGCTTTAATTCCAGCCCTCGGGAAGCAGAGGCAAGCGATCGCTGAGTTCGAGGCCAGCCTGGTCTACAAAATGAGTTCTGGGACAGCCAGGGCTACACAGAGAAACCCTGTCTCAGAAACAAACAAACAAACAAACAAACAACAGAAACACAGAGGACAGCCACGTGGCTCTAATTGAGGACCTGGAAGAGGTACTTTTCTTAATCACCCTCGTTATCCGCAGCAGCCTAAAGTAGAAAACAGACTCAACAAGCAAGCGGGAAGCTAGGACTGTCCTGTTTCCACAGAGAGCTCTGGAAAGTTCCCCACAGCCTCAGTTTCCTCCTCTGTGAACGTAAAGGGGGTTACTCCGGCAGGGACGGCACCCCCTGGCAGGGATGTTAGGGCGAAGGGAAACCAGACAGCATTTTAATGTGTGAGACAGGGTCCCAGGTAGCCTGTGTCAGCCTTGAACTTGGTAGGTATCCAGGAGTGAGCTTGAATGTCTCATCTTCCAGCCTCAACCCGCTGGTGCAGAGTCCAGGTGTGTGCCACCTGGTTGGTGTGAGGGGGAAGCACTCTATCCGCCAAGCGACAGCCAGCCTGGCGGCGGACAGCTTGGTACACCCTGGAACTCTCCTTCTCCGAGGTTACATTTACCCTGACCTCTGCCTTCCCATCTGCCAACTCCGGAGGCTGAGCCTGGAGGATGGCAGTCCGACAGCTAGTTCAAGACCAGGCTAGGCAGCTTAAAAGATTAGTTTTTTTGTTTGTTTGTTTTTTAAATAAAAGAAAACTGGTGGAGAGATGGGTCAGAGGTTAAGAGCATTTGCTGCCCTTCCAGATGACCTGGAGTTTAATTTTCAGCATCCACAGGGCAGTACAACAGGCTCAACTCCAGTTCCAGAGGAACGGGGGCCCTCTTCAGGTTTCCTGGGGTGCCAAGGGCACAAGTGATGGACAGATACACGTGCAGGCAAAGGCTTACACACATAAAATAAAATAAAAGTTAAAAAGAATCCCACAGCTGGGGATGCGGCTCAGCTGGTGGCTCGCTTGCCTGGCAGGCAGGAAGCCCTGGGTTCCATCCACAGCACAGCATAAACCAGGCATGGCGTGGTGCATGGCCTGTAACCCCAGCACGGACGGAGGTGGAGGCAGGGGAACCAGAAGCGAGGTCATCCTTGCGTATATAGTAAGCTAGAGGCCAGTCTGAGCTACAGAGGTCCCGGGCTCAGTCTCAAAGAAGACAATAAAGAAAACCCCGACGCCTCTGCTGGGAATCGTGGCTGGAGGCCAAGGCGGGAGCCGCCGCCCAGAGCGAAGGGCCTCCATTCTGCAAGTCCCAGGAAAGGGGGCGTGGCCTCGTGTGGGTGTGTCTATGTGGGGCGTGGGTGTGGCTTGACCGAATTGGGGCGGGGCGGCCGGAACAGGAGCCTGTGTAGACCTCGGAGCTTGTGGGCCAGGCCTCCAGGGGGCGTGGTCTTGTGGGGAGGGGGCGGGCCTGAAGGGGATTTAAGGGGGCGGGCCCGGCGCCCTCACAGGCGGCTGCAGTTTTGGGCGCCGGTCTCCCGGTCGCTCTCTTCTTCCAGCCTGGCTGGTGGTCTGTGGGTCCGGGCCTCCTCCACGTCTTGGCCTCCACGTCTGTGGCCTCCACGTCTGTGGCCAGTTCCTCGAGCCGCCGGCCAGTCCCGCCGCTCGCATGGCCGCCATCAAAGCCCTGCAAGAATGGTGCCGGCAGCAATGCGAGGGCTACCGGGACGTGAGCATCACCAACATGACCACCTCGTTCCGCGATGGCCTGGCCTTCTGCGCTATCCTGCACCGACACCGGCCCGACCTTATGTGAGTGCTCTTTGACCTTTCTGTCTGTCTCCGATGTGCTGCTGCAAACGGGAAACTGAGGTCTCGCTTGCCCCGGGATCCCGGTCAGAGTTTGCCGACACACCTCTCTCAAATGAGCCACCCGGGCAGGGCAGAGACCTGCAGGCACAGTCCATTCGGTGGCCCCCCAAGGCTGCGGCAGTCAAGTGGCCTCTGTGCAGGCCACCAAATGCAGCTGGGCCAGGGGCCAGGACGTGGGCTGTCCAGCCGGCTTAGTCAGTGGTGACTCAGGGCAGTGTCCGCCTTCCCCTGGCTCCCTGAGAAAGGGCAAAGGAGCAGCTCATGGGGGCCTTCTGAGACCCTGTACTGTCTTGAGGTTTGGCCCCAAGATCAGAGCCACTGAGACTAATAGTGGGATCGCTGCCCCTCCCCCAGCCTGTTCAGGCATCTTTGGGAAATCAATCAAAGAGGGAGGCCCAAGCCTTTTAGCACCTTAGGGTGGCAGGAGAAAAAGGAGACTGGACTACCATCCCTGGAAGTTGCGGGGGGGGGGAGGGGAGGGAGGGTCTAAAGCCCTCTATAAAAGAAGAGTCTTGGCATAGGAGGCTGGGAAGAACACGCTGCCTCTGTTTTGTCTCGGCCCACAGCTGAATCTGTTCTATCATTTGCTCACTTAGCAGACTCTGGCAGACTGTCTATTACAGGGATCTAAGTTAGGCTGATGGCCAGAGTCCTGGAAGGGGACAAGATCGCCTACTGCCCATGCTCTTCTGAGCAGAGCTTTGACTGTCCTGAGACACGACAGCTAGAGCCAGAGCTGCTGTTCCGGGAGTGTTTTCCAGGGAGGTCTTGAGGCTGAGTGAAGCTGGAGGCACCTGTGGAGCCGGCCTCAGTCAGGCTTCTTGCTGTGCAGACAGGGAAACTGAGGCTCAGAAAAGGAAACACACACACACACACACACACACACACACACACACACCTTTTGTTCAGAGTACACAGCCTGCCAGGCAGAGGCAGGCCTGGTCTGTCCGGCTCCCTTGTGCCCAGCTTTGCTCTGCTCGGGAAGTGGGAATCTTGAGCAAGAAGTAGTATTCTGCCCTGTGGTTGTGAAATATACCCCTCGCCCCTGGGAGCTGCTTGAGGAGGCCCCATGGCATGAGTCTGTCAGGGAGATGGCTGGTGTGAGCTCAGTCATATGGAAAGCGTGCTGCTGAGCTTCGATGGATGCTGGACCAGGGATGTGGACCTTAGGAGATGGACTTGGAATGACCGTGTGGGTAGCCAGGTCTTCCCAGGTGGTGCGGGGGAGGCTGGACGATGATCCAGAGTGGGGAGCCTAGGTGAAAACTATGTGACAAGTTTTCAGATGGAGGAGACGGTGCTGTTAGTTTTGGCTGGCCTAGCAGCCTCTGTTGGTAATTGGACAGGGCCTTTGCAAATACAGGGTTCCCATCTGCTCCAAGGCAGGGGATGTGCGTGCTCCTGACCTGGCACATAGTCCCTGCTGAGGAGGAGAGGTGTACACGCAGAGGTGTATGTTTGCTTATGCTTGTGCCTGCATGTACATGCTGGCATGAGCAAGTGTTAAATATTTGCTCATTTACTGGGCACCTGCTGTATACTGTCTAAGATCTCCTCAGCCTCCAAAGTGAAGGGAGCAACTTCCTGGTCTCAGACAGAAGTTCAAGGTGATGACAGGGAACCAAGACGCTGTGGCAGGAAGGAGGCTGGAGGAAGAGGCGCCTGCTCAGTTCTACTCTGGGTGCTGACTTCCTTGCTGTCCGTCCCAGCTAAAGATGATTAGTTAGTGCCGTGAGGAGACCTGGAGGTGGCTTGTCTGGGTAGCTGGGGCCCCACAGATAAGGCCATGCTGCTGGGGCTCAGTAGCTGTGATAGAAGCTTGGTAGGCGCTTCTGTGTCTTTGGACAGAGTTTGGAGGTGACAGAATTGGGACACCCTGGAGCTTCCAGAAGCTGGGAGAGATAAGAAGGACCCTCCCCCCGGAGCGAGTATGACCCTGCTACACCTTGACACGGGAAACCTGGCCTCTGGGAACCTGAGGACATGTATTCCTGGGTGTGGACACGTGAAAAGAGGTGGAGATTTAGGCAGGCACTACAGCGGTTGATGTGTTTCCAAAGCAGTGGTTTTCGGCCTGTGCGGGGTCGCCTAAGACCAACGGAAAACACAGATACTTACATTACGATTCACAACAGTAGCAAAATCGCAGTTACGAAGTAGTAACGGAAAGAATTTTATCCTTGGGAGCCACTACATGGGGTGCTGTACGGAAGGGTCGTGTTAGGAAGGCTGACAAGCACTGTTCTAAAGTGGCTGGGTGCGAAGGAAGGACTTGTGCCGTCTGATTCTGAGCGTTCAAAGCCCCTGGGGTGGTTCTGGTGAGATGGCCCAGTGGGGAAATGGGCTCGGTGGCCTTCCTTGGATCTGCAGCACTCACCCACATGACAAACGGAGAGGATGACTCCCAGTTGTCCTTTGACCTGCACGTGTGCACATCTGCACCTCCTCCTCCAAATAAATAAACGCCCCCAGCCTGGGTCCTGCCATGCTCTGGCCCCCGTGGGGGTGGGGTTCGGGGTGGGGGGTGTCTCACTGCAGACTTGGGAAGGAAAAGGGTGATGGACCACAGGTCCAGAGGACAGAGGGGCTGTCCTCTCCGAGGAGCCCGAGGTCAGATCTTGGCAGGACTCGGGGGGGGGGGGGTCACAGCTCCCTAATGCCCTAGTCCACTTCTCCTTCCCCTGAAGACCCTCTGGCAGCAGGAAGGTGGACATCCTGTCTCCTTATCCCTAGCTTTGCCACCAGGAAGTCCTTCCCTTTGTCTGACCTCAGAGGTTCCTCCTGCCTGCTGAGTGTGCTTCCTGTGGCCCTTGTCGGAGCACAGCTGTGAGGGAGCGAGCCTGGGCATGGAGCCAGCCAGGTGGGGCCAGGCTGCAGGCAGTGAGTTCACGTGTGCTGTGTCCAAGTCCCTCCCACATCCCTAGGTCCACAGGACTAGACTTCACCAGTGACGCCACCTGGCCCAGCCCCTGCCTCATGCCACGTGCCCCTGCTCCGCCGCAGAGCCTGGGCTTCCACAGTTCGAGGGTGCTGCGCTCAAGGACCGTTTCTACAGTGAGGCCTCCCTGCAGCTGCCAGGTTAGGGCTGGGGAGCCACCGGCACAGCAGCCCAGCCCACCTCCGGCTAGCAGCCTTGCCCCAAGTGGGACTCACAGAGTGGCTGGCCTTCCTTTGGGCCTCACCAGGAGTAGCCATAGGGCTCTAGTTGATCTATGAGGCCAGGGGCATAGTATCCTGTGGATATGAGCCAAGAGGTAGGTGGGGAAGGTGGCTTCAGGAACCTCCCCTCTGTTCTGAGATTGAACTCGGGTTGTGAGACATGTATGAAAGAGCCTTTACCCAATGAGCTGTTTTGTCAATCTCCATCCCTCCCTCCTTATCTCCCTCTTTCTTCCTTTTCTTTCCTTTTTTTTTTTTTTTTTTTTTTTTTTTTTTTTTTTTTTTTGAGACAGAGAATCTCATTATACATCCCTGAAGGTCAGGAACTCACTCTGTAGACCAGGCTGGCCTTAAACTCACAGAGATCCTCGGGCTTTTGTCTATGCAGTGCTGGGGATGGGTGGAACCCAGGGAACTGTGCATTCTAAGCAAGTTCCCTACCAACCAAGCCCCAGTGTTGGGATTCTGTTGTTTATTTGGAGACAGGATCTTGGTAAACAGTTCAGGCTGGTCTAGAACTCACTGTGTAGCCCGGAGAGTGGCTCAGACTTGGGGTAGTCCCCCCCCCCGCCTTAGACAGTGAGTACTTGGAATTATGGGTATCCACCACCACACCTGCTGTAAAGCTGGAGTTCTGTGGATACTTCCAGCTCTTGGCCACTGGTGGGGTGACCTGAAGGTCCCCAAGGCCCCTCCAGCCCTGGAGGCTAGTGTCAAGGCCACAGCTAGAAGCAGCAGGTGGCTGACACAGCCTTCCCAGATCCCTTGTGGGGGTGCCTCTGACACTCTAGACTTCCCTGGTCAGGGATTTCACAGGGGGTGCTCTATCCCGAGGCTTCCCTGGCCAGAGCTGGGAGTGGACCAGGCAAGGCTAGCCGAGCTTCCCTCCCACACAGGGTTTGGCCAGCAGGAAGCGTCTTGGGCACAGAGGCCTTCTGTTCTCCAGCCTGCGGCTGGCTGCCCAGACCCCTGCCACTGCCTTCCGGCTAAAACTGTCCAGGGCAGTGGGAGGGGCTGCTGCCCTCCAGGAGACAACCCAGCCTGGCGCTGGCCTTCCAGAGGCCTCGTTCCCTGTGCCTAGTTCCCGGGTCTCCTGGCTGGTCTCCCTGCTATTCTGTTTGTTTCACACTCTTGGTTTCACACTCACCCTGAGCTCCTCTCTTCACTTTGGAGCTGCAGACCTCTCTCTAAACTGTCTCTTCTCTCTGCCTTTTTGCCAATGGGATTAACTCCAGATGTGCTGGATTTGCTTAGTGATAACACGGAGCTGGGAATTCCCCCCCCCCCCCCCAAGCCTGGTGCCCACCCTGCATAGTTGAGTTTTCTTCCAGGAAATACAAGAACATGAAGTCAGCCACGGGAGAATTCAGAAGGGGTGGGGGAACTATTCCCAAGGGGTCCCATGAGGTGCTCGGGTGGGGGGGCTGGAGGCTGGCTTCCTCCACAGCCAAAGCTCACAGGGCTGGGGCGTCATTGTATTTGGTGGGTGGTGGCCTGGTTGTGCGGTCATCCACACAACGTTGGGTGGCTCTTAACTCCATAGTTTCATTTAATCTGTTTGTGTTGAAATGGAATACAATAGGGTCTGGTTTTGCCTTGTAAACACGAGGGCCCAGTTCAATCCCCAGCACCCATGTACAGAAGCCAGGGACAGTGATGTGTACCAGTAATCCAGGTGGAGTGGGAGGTGGAGCCAGGAGGCTCCCAGCACTTGCTGGATAGCCAGCCTGTTCTAATTGGCAAGCTCCACACCCCAGTGAGAGAGACCCTGCCTCAAAAGC